GGTTCTTTCAGTAATCTTACCTCGAATCCTTCTCTTGACGTTGAAAACTCTTTGAAATCACTCTTGGTTCGAATCCGGTTTTGATTTGAGACACAAATGGGAGAGAGAGAGGGAGAGAGAGCACGGAAGTGTGAGAGAGAGAGAGAGAGAGAAATGCACGGGAAAGAAAAAGAAAAGGAAGGAAAAGAAAGGAAAAAGAAAAAGAGAAGAAAAGAAAAGAAAAATAAAAGAAAGTGACATGTGTAAAATATAACAGTCCAGAAATGCGCCCATACACACTTCTGGATTAAATAAATTACTGTGAATAATTTAAATACCTTAGAATTATTTAAACTCAATTAATTAAATCAGATTAGGCACACTAATAATCTCAATTACCTTAATTAATCTCAATTAATTCTTCCGGGTGTTACAAGATGGCTTACCTTCGATGCTCCGCGAGCAACTCCAATCCCTGCTAACCTTCCAGAAACCTCCGCTTGCTTGAGTAATGCAGTAAGTCCCTCCGCACATAGAAGAAATAGGTAAGGTGAAATAGGGCAACCTTGGCGAAGCCCCTGACTTGGCCGAATCGAACAACGAGGTTCATTGCCCATCATAAAGGAAAGACTAGCTGAGGAAACACATTTCATGATTAACCCTCGAAATCGTTGCCCAAATCCAACTTTCTCCATCATCCCTTCAAGGAAAGGCCACTCAATTCTATCATAGGCCTTGCTCATATCTAGTTTCAAACCCATGAAGCCCACATTGCCGCTAACCTTATGTCGGATGGAATGGAGGACCTCAAAAGCCACAAGCACATTGTCAGTAATTAGCCGACCCGGGACGAAAGCACTTTGTTCTTGAGAGATAACCAAAGGGAGAACACTTTTCAATCGATTAGCCAACGCCTTGGATATAACCTTGTAAGAGACATTACAAAGGCTTATCGGTCGATAATCTGACACCCTCCTCGCTTCCTTAATCTTCGGGATAAGAACAACATTAGTCGCATTCATGTTTTGGAAAGAGGCATTATCATTGAGAACCCGCAAGCACATATTAGTCAAGTCATCTCCTAAAATATCCCAATTCTTTTGATAAAATGTCGCATGGAATCCATCCGGCCCCGGGGCTTTGGTAGGTCCCATAGCAAAGAGAGCTTGATGGATTTCCTTCCTTGTGAAAGGCTCCTCCAACATAGAACACATTCCAAGAGATAAACAAGAGGTCACTGCTTGTGTTACGGACTCTATATCCAAAAAACTCGGCATGGATGACGTGAAGATCTCGGCAAAATACTTTTTGATCTCCTCAACAACCTCATAGTCACTCGTCACCCATCTCCCATCACTCTTCTCAACACCTTTGATTTCATTTTTCTTCTTCCTTTGAGAAGCTTTTGAGTGAAAGAATTTAGTATTCTTATCACCACCCCTTAACCATTCAACCCGAGAGCATTGTTTATTAAGTATGAAATTCTTGATTTTATTCGGGATATGAAGATCCCACAGTTTCCTCCACCACACACTATCCCCTCTCCCTCCAGAACTACTAGGCGAATTTCTTAGACCCATGGCCAGCTTGTAGCCGGCACGAACAGAATAGAGCCCCTTAGAATCATAATGCCACACCCAGAGATCTTCACTAGAGCCACAACTCAAAGGCATGTTGAGAATAATTTCTTGATCAATAGGGAGAAAAATATGACGAATTAGCTCTTGGTTCCAATGCCTATTAATAATAAGATCTTCCACCAACCAATCTTCAGTTTCTTCAGTCACTGCCGTAATTGGACGGAATGAATGAGGTCTAGGGATCCAAGGGTCCCTAAAACATCGAATGGATTTCCCAGAACCAACACGTCTACGGATGCTTTTAAGTGTTTATGTTAGTAAGAAAAATTAAGTAGAATGAATTAAAATACCCATCTAAATCCAATTATGTTTTTGTTTGAATATTAAAAAGAGTAGTTCTAGGTACACCAACTTAAATCTCAATTTGTATATACCAATTAATGTGGCATGTGAGTTGTCATTTATTTATTGATAGATGTAATCTCTTATCATTAATTGACATGACAATATTTTAAACACCCATCAATAAAAAAGTGACAACTCACATGTTGCATCAATTGGTATACAAAAATTAAAATTTGAGTTGGTGTTCCTAGTATTATTCTATATTAGAAATGTATAGATGATTATAACATATGTGAGAATAAAAATTTTAATGTATCAATTAAATAGAAAATTATTTATAAGGTACATATGAGGAAATATAGTTAAGAGTGCTGCAAAAAAAAAAAATAAATATGTTTAAGTAAGAATATATTTGAAAATAAATATTACTTCAATAAAGGTAAAAATACTTATGAGATAATGACTATGTGAAAAAGTGTCTAAATAGTGTCTAAATAGAGATATATTCGAGACCAATTATTTTAATGGCTCATTTAGGAAAAAGTTTTTTGAGATCACTTTAATATGATAAGTACTACATGAAACTAGATATAGTGGATATACAATAGGAATTTTTGTTAATTAAGTGGGTTCTAAATAAAAGAAAAAAAATTAAAGAACCGCATACATTAAATAAAAACAAAAAACAAGAGGGCTTAAAAAATCTGGGCCTTGTTCATTTCACCGATTTGAGTTTTCAGTTTTAAGTTTCTACAGTAAAAAGCTCTTAAAAAATGTTACATCTAACTTTTTTTGCTACAGTGAAAAACTCTCAGAAAGTGTCACATCTCAGCTCGAATTGAAAACTCAAATCCGCGAAGTGAACAATGCCTAAAAAGTTCAGAGGCCTCACAAGGCACATCCCTCTGCCCCGTGTCTAACTATGGTCATTAGAGTGGGTCCGCAGGATCTTAAGCGCGTTGATAATGAACTCCAACCAAAATGAGGGGGAAAAAATAAATCTAAAAAAAAAGTAAAAGAAAAGTGAAATTAAGATGACGGGACTTCGGGCGCGTTTAGAACTCATTCTAAAATAATTTTATTTTTGTATGAAAATAAAAATAAAAACATTTTCAATCTCAGACAGAAATTATTTTTTAAAATGCGTTTGGTAGTTTTATCAAGATATTGTTTTCAGCATAAAAAAACAAATTAATGTCTTTCTTTCTCTCTATCTGCTCGAGAGAAGAGAAAACGAAAACAAAAAAAGAAAAATGATTAAAAGTCATTTTTCATTTCTCTCTCATTTTACACTAAACTAAAAAATCATTTTTATTTCTGTTTTTTTGTCTTTATTGCGCCAAACGTCATTTTAAAAACATTTTTATTTTTTTCTCAAAAATTGTGAAAATAAAAACGGGATTAATTATAAACACGACCTCTCCCATGAGGTTGGATATCTTAGAAACCGAAAGTTGATAAAATCCAAAGATCATTAGTTTTTAAGAGCCCTTTTTTTTTTGAACCCCTACGTCAATGATTATAGAGCTACTATGTGAAATACTAGCGATTAAAGTAAGGATAACTCCAAAATAATATATAGAATCGATTATATACAAGATTTTAATAAGTTGTTGTATATTGCTGAGAATTCTATAAGAGATTATAGATGAGATATCTACAAGCTTTTATGTTATTGATTTTTTTTTTTTGCTAGTCAATGTTATTCATGTACTTATATTTATGAATTATAAAATACGTTTAAAAATATGAGATTTTTTTTTTTAAAGAGAAGTAACTTATATAATGTTTAAAAAAGTAGAAAAAGGGCAACTGGGAAACAGGTGTAAAAATATGCGTGTGTGTTTCTTTATTTTATTTTATTTTAATTTTCACCCCTAGAAGAGAACATTGGATTTTTTTTTAAAAAAAAAAAAATTCAAAAGAGAATCTCGCAAAACTTTCGTTAGAAGAAAATATTAAACATTTTAAGTTAGACATATAACAATAATCTTACTAAATATTTTGAAATTTAACACATAAATTAGAATATTTTACAAATGTAAATAAAACAATTATAATAATTACCACGTAATTTTTGTGTTCTTAAAATATCATTCCCTTAACATACTAATCTAAAACAAAAGAGAAATCTTAACAATTACCTATTAAAGTACATAAATTTTAATTTTTATTGTTACTCTTGATTAATACTCTTTCAATAATTTTCTCAAAAACCACCCCCAAAAGGTAAGAGATATTAGACGAGGACCATGGGCCCAAAAATTCCAACAATTAAATGTCATGGGCCTTACTCTACATTGGAGTCCAGAGAGAGACTGCTTCCCTCAACACCAAACGGTTAATAGTAGGAGAGGAGAGAGAGGAGAGAGGAGAGAATCGGGGCAACAATATCAATGGCAGAGACGGCGACGGAATCATCCTCCGGCGAAGACCTATCAGTTTCTCCGGCATCGGAATCGAAGAAGAAGGAGAGAAATGAGCGTCAAACATTAGCATCAATGGCGGAGGATCTGCAGCGCAACGTCATCAGCTCCACCGACTCCGCCATTCGCTCCGCTCGTTCTCTCCACCACAATTCCTCCGCTCACTTCCGAAACCTCCAGGTCTCTCTCATCTTCCACCAATTCTCTTCATTTCAGAAGTTTTCAGGCTTTTCATGATTCTTTTTTTGTTTAAAGTTTATTTTCCATTCGATGATCGTAACAGGAATTTGTAGCTAATGCCAAATCCCACTACAAAACCTATGAAGATACTTTCTTCAACACAGTCAAAGGTAAACCTAATCTTCATTTCATATAAAAGTTTGGACTTCATATTTATTAATTTTTCAGCTAATCTGTGAAGTGAATTTTCACCTACTTAAATATATATATATATATATATAGAGCACCCAGTTGCAACTGTTGGGGTTGGTGTTGCCTCCGGTCTCCTTCTTCTGCGAGGTATTTTCTTCAATCTTTTGCTTTTCTGGTTTTTAATTTATTTTAGAGTTGAATTTCTATCAGACAGTTCAGATTATACATTTGGTAGTGTAACATCTGTTTGATATCTTTAACTATACTACTTTATTCTGATTATCTTGTATTATGTATGTGTTTCTCTAATTTGATACTCCCCGTTTGATGAGTGTGTAATGGAGATTGATTTTTGGATCATTTGATGTATAGAGAATAATGACGTATATGCTAAGACAAATGGGATTGAGAAAATGGCTTCTCCTTGATGTGAAAATGCTGTTCTTTGTGCATTGTCCTCCGACATCTAGTTGTAGATTTTATTCAAACCTTAAGCAGATAGTGCAATTTGTTAAACCTTAGATCCTGAGTAAGGATTTTGAACTTCCTGTACATGTGTATTTTATGTGTTTTTTGCTGTGCTCTGCAGCGTCTGCATTTGTTGTTATCTGTTATTTATTTTTGGTTTATTTTTATGTATGATTTTTGAGAAGGATATTTGTTGTCCACAGGACCTAGAAGGTTCTTGTTTCGTCATACATTGGGCCGTTTGCGAAGCGAGGAGGTATCTTATCTCATTAATTGATGTTATTGAGTTACTGTAAATCCATTTATGAGCCTGCTTGGTTCTTCCGATTGAATATGGACTTGTGCATGCTAAAAAATTACTGAAACTGGTCTGTAGCTGTGAACTAGTATGGAGAGAAAAGGGAAATTCATTGAGATTGGTGGTTAGTAGGATTATAACAAGATCAAGGAAGCAGCTAAATATCACCTTTTAAAAGCTGAAGTTCACAGGAATCGAACTCTATAATCAGCAGAACATGTGTCTATAGCTTTTGAATTGTAAAACTGTTCCATGCTAAATGTTCAATGTAGTAGTCTCTCATCTTCACTGATGGATCTTCTATTTTACCCTCTTCTTCTCCTTAAATGTTCAACACAATTCATGCAGGCACAATTTGTTAAAGCCGAGAAGAATGTAAAGGAGCTAAGCCTTTCTGTGGATGTGATGAAAAATGAAAGCAGAAAACTACTCGAAAGGGCAGCTCTTGCGGAAAAGGACATGAAATATGGCCATACTGAGCTCATGTAAGTGACCTAAGTACTTAAAATGTTGTAAAAATTGTAAGATTCTCTATGTATGATTACTTCATGCTATTTATGCAGGAAAGCTGGAAATCAAATTCAGCATCTTGCAAAATCTGTTTACAAGGTTGAAGCTCAAGCTGCAGGTATAATGCCTGAACTTTGTCCTTTCCTGCTGTCTAAATAACTGCTTTGGATTTTGGAATATTGGATTCATGATTGATTATGTGGTCTTGGGATTTTCTGGAGAATGTTCAGTAAATTTTGCCAAAATGTGATAATTACGTTTTGTTCAGATTTGGTGGATGGCCTGAGGGAAACCCCTGGTAGGGAGGCTTTAAAACTTCGAGCTGAGGTAAGTCTAGCATTTTCCTAACCTCAATATTAACTTTCCCATTTTCCTCATAACCAATGTTCCCTACACTTGTGAATGGCTTTCTAAGCTCTGCCTAAGTCCTAACCGTTTCTTTTCCCCCATCTGGTTTCTACTTCTCGTTTTTCTTTCATCAGGTTGCTTCTGTATTGTCACATTTAAAAAAGCAGAGGGTTGAGCTGGACAAACGGATAATGCAGATTTCTGACTTAGGAGTACCTGTGTAATGTAATAAACACCAAAGTTTTGCCAGGGTACTGCATACTCTTACCCCATTTCACTTGTCTTTCTTGTTGAATCTATATTGGTTTGGATAAATACCCAATGAAGAAAAAGAGATTTTGTCGCCTCACATTTATTATCTATTATATTGGTTTCATCGGGTTGATGTGTGAAAACTAGTAGGTAAAAAAAGTTTGTCGTGGCACTCTTGTCTCTAATGTTGAGGTCAAAAGTTAAATCTTTCCACCTTAAATCGAAAAGAAGAAGAAATTGCTCTCCGTGAAACAAAATTGGCAACTCATGTCTTCAATCGTGGCCATTTGTGTTGCAATCAAGAACTATTCTGGAAAAACATTGTTTTAGTAGGAGGGGACGCATAAAAGGATAACAAGGATATGGAAACAATTATGGAAACATTGTTTTAGTAGCAATATTCCTCCTACTAGTTTCGCCTGTATTCAACTCTTTTTCTCTCAATGAATCCAATGTCTGAAGTTTCCAAAATCCCTCACTCTAGAAATTTAATTTTCCGACCAACAGATTAACCTAAATTTATCTATGATATAAATTATAATTGAACACCGTGGTGGGAGTACTTGCGTTTGCACCCGGAGTCTAAGGTTCGAATCCCGGAAACGGTCTCTCCTTCGGGAGGTAAGGCCGTGTACATATGGGATTGAGCTTTCTCTTGAGCCTGTCATAGTACGAGAGCCTCTTTGGCACTGGGATCCGCATTTTTTATAAATTATAATTGAACAAATCTATGCATCCACCGTAGTTATATCAATCTTCAACAACAATGGTGGACATATTGAAGTTGCTGCTAGAAGGATTTTTGTTGCGAAATGGTATGCTAGCCATACCGACTGTGAATTCATTAGTCATGTATCGGGAGAATCCGAAATCCTGAAGCAAGAATCGGGAATTACTGGACATGGCTGGGAAGCAAAAAGAAACGAAAGGTCGAGAGCTATTTTTGTTAAAATACCAAATTGACTTTGGTGATGGGCTCAACTATGCAGGTAGTAGTAGCCTAGTAGGACTTTTAAGGCCCGTTTACTTGGCATGGGGAAAAAAAAAAAAAAGGAAAAGAAATTTTAGTGTAACCCCACACAATAAAGAAAATGACGGAAGGAAGTCAATCCTTGCACTCTCTCCTCTCTCGGTATTGCTTCTCGGTTAGTAATTACGTGATAAGATTATTATTGTTTAATAAACACCAGAATTGGAACTGTATTGTTTTTCATTATACACAAGTAAACGCTAGAGAGAGAATGATCCTCATTTTTATTACCTTCTTTTCCAATTTCTCTTTCTCATTAAATTTCCTGACGTTTATGAATCGCACCCTCAATGTATTATGTTTATTTGCATTGATGATCCTTTTTTACACCTGTTTAATAAATCGTTGATGGGAACTAGTTGAGTTTTTATCTAAGCAATTCTTCATGAAGCATGTATTAGGGGGATTATAGATTCGCTTTTTAAATCAAGGAAGAAATACAAAAAAACCATTCAAAAATATCATCTTTACATTTATGCCAACAAATGACGTAAACTTAACATTTATGCCAACTCAATTCATTAGAAAATATAAATATCTTAATTTTTTTTTCTTCTCGAAAAGGATGGCCGAACATCTTCGGAGAGTATTTTAGTAGAATATTTTTTTATATTATATTAGAATATATATATTGTTCACGGTAAAAAAAAAAAAATAATAATAATAAAAATAATACCCGTTTTAATAAAACGTGGTAAAAAAAAAACATGGAGTAAAATATAATGGAGAATGTGGAGTAGTGATTCAAAAATAAAAATAAAAAAATGATGGTGCAGAATGTGGTGGGTGCAAAACATGGGATAGTAAAAAAAAAAACTGTTAAGGAAATCCTTTATATAAAGGAAGAAACAAGACAGAAAAGGGGCAAAAAAAAATTTTGAGGAAAAAAATTTGGGCCGGAGGTTTGGTGCAGGTGTGTGCAGTGAAGCGGAAAGAAAAAAAAAAAAAAACTTGGTGCGTGTGTGCAAAGAAAAGTGAAAGAATATA